GATAGGTTATCGGATAGGTCATTTTGATTTGTATAAAGTAGCTTCTACTCTCACAGCTTGGACAATTCGGGCGAGGCGTCTAAGCACGCAGGTCTTGCCTTCGGCCCTACCACGTTGGGTAGGAGCTTAGGGAGTAGGGTTGCAGCACTCGGCCGAAACACGGATGGATATGAATTCTGAGTGTGTGCTTATCTTCATGCTTACTCTAGTCCTCCATCCGTCTTCTAGTGAGATTTATGAGGTCAGGTCTTGCTCTCTTCAGCGTGCGATGCCCGTAGATTTCGGTGAAATCAAATGTACTCACTTTTTTAAGGCAGGCAGTGAAAGTACTGGTAGCAGGGTTTCCTCGTTCCCAAGGATGCACGAATAAGCTGGCGCTCAGGTGAGACCTCTCGCCTCTGACAAGGCGTGAGAAACCTGGACCAATTAGAGCTTTCCGATGCGATGGGCTTGCGTCAAGTGGAGACCTGAATATGCTCTAGATCTCGGAGGTCTGAAAACGAGTGACGCTGATATAGATGGCCCAAAAATAAAGATCCTAGATTTACAATGCCTATAAGAAGGTATCTCTATCTTTCTGACACCACGATTTACCCGGAAGCCCAAACCCTAACCATTCTAGTTGGTGTCTGAAAATCGCCGCATTTAAGCTTCTTCATAAATCCTGGTAACTCCTAATCATAACTTCTTGGTGCCGCCATTGGGCCATTGTATCGGGGGCTCCAAGGCCCTCAACCCTATCAACCCCCAAACCCCCTTAAAAAGGTCAAAGACCTTAGAAGCCGAGGCACTGGGCAGCGTCCTGCAAGTCGCAGGGACGGAACCTGACTCCAAGCTGTCAGCTCTTTACTGAGCTGACTTTCGCGTTGAGGGCTAGGGCTTAGGGTTTGGGGTTTAGGTTTAATCTGAAGCTGACCGAATTATCAGGCCTACACAGCCCACCTTAACCATCATGAGCGTATGCTCACAGAGCCAGGTGGCTGCAGTTCGAGACCGGAGACGCTTTCATCCCCGCCTGACACGTGCGCGGCTGCCTCTCTTGCAGCCATCCGTCGTTGCACGGAGTTTTCTTTGGGCACCAGAAAGCTCCATCATGACAGGGAAACCCTGAGCTTCTCCAATTCTCAAACCTGAATCTTTGGTGGGCCTTCTTTTGTAGCCACTGCTGCGCAGCCGCCATCCTCCTCAAAAGGCCCGGACGAAACCGTAGAACTCTGCTTAAGCCGGTCTCACAGACCATTCCATCGAAATCGTGTACGCTTTCTTCCTCTATCCGTGCCGGTTACTTAGTGTTACTGTTTCCCTTGCCGCTCTTGGTCTTGCTCCTGCTGTTGCCTTTGTTGATGTTGTTGGTGGTGGCGGTGGCTTGCTGCTATCCTTCCGTCATCTGCTCGTCTCCCTGGCGATACTGCGAGGTTTCAGAGCTTGTTTTTTTTTTTCATGGGCTTGGATTGTGTGCCAGCGAACACTCCTTAACAGCAGCACCTTCTCGTTCAACGAGGGATACACACGTAGGAGCGACAGAAACATAAGAGCGAAACGAGTAGCGACAATCTTCTGAACTACAGAGCTTACATGGGCTGACGAAGACACAGAAAACCCCAAACCCTAAAACCCCAAAGCCCTAAACCCTAAACCCCAAAAACCCTAAAACCCCAAACCCAAAAACCCAAAACCCTAATAGCCTAAACCC